TACACCTCATGCCATCAAAATTTATATTAGAAAACATCATCCATTGTATTGGTTATGTTGGACTTTATTCATTGGGTTCTATTCAAATCTCTCATACCAAGCCCATTAATATATGTCGGTTTTTGTAAACCCTAATTTATGAATATGTTTTCTTATAAATATTATACGATTATGCGTCTTATGCGTTTAAAGAGGTTTGTTTCTATGCTCTACGTCGTATTATATCGTTCTTGTGTTTTGACTTAATTTATTAGTTTGTGCCGTGTTCATATACTAACATATACTAACCTACTTTATCTTCTGCGGTTATTGATATTTAGTCTTAAGGTATGTTATTATACCTTCATTCATCAATCATTGATATGTTTTCGTAGTGATCTATAATATTTGTTGCTTATTTTTGTTTTTTGTTTTCATTGTGTTGACAGATTCTTATATCATCGGTAAGGTTAGTGTTTAATGTATATCTTATTGTCGTTATTTTAATTATTTGTTTTAACCTAATTTACGTTATACACTTGTATGTCTACTTGCATATTAGTTATTAATATTCATTGATATATTTTTATATATTATCAGCTTATTTATATATAATCTTTTTATTATTTATAGGGTTTTATTTGATTATGTTGATAGATTTTTCCGATTAGCATCATATCGGAGATCCCTTTACACAACAATTCCTCGGTTTTGGTCTTGATTAATTGTGTAAAGTAATTGATTTGTATATGTAATATTTCTATCGTCTATTAATYTATATATTTAATTTATATTATATTTAAAATTGACTTTACTTATTTATTTTACTGTTTTATTATATAACATGTCATATTATATTGTAATCGTATATAATATTTATAGTTATATATATATATATATCCTTTTATATTGTTTATGATAATTCTTGGTTTAAATTTTTAGTATATTCTCATATCCCATATTCAATGATATAGGACCGCACAAATGATCTTCTATAAACACTAGCATATTCTATATTAATCGTGTGAATATACAGTTAGAACATGAGACACGATGGGGCGAAGATAGCTTAGCAACGATGGATYGCTTGCGCCRTGAAGAAGATGATGATCAAGAGTTGAAGTCGGAATAAGAGGAGAAGCCATTGAAGCAGATCGTAGAGTCCTTAGTTATTTTTATTGAGGTATATGCTTAACCAAAAGCTAAATAGATATGTTTTACTTTAAGGCAATTTCTTCTAATTATCATTACCACATTTAAGAGTATAAAATTTAACGATTTGTTTGAGAAAATGGAAGAGCTTTCATTTT